GAGGAAAAAAGGTGAGCTGCTTTCTTACTCTCAGCCTGTCTGTGGCCTCACTTCAAGGGTGTGGCCTCTCTGAAGGCATCCTCCAACTCTCACCTGGGGCTTCTCCTCCAGGTATCTAACCAACCCAGCACTGTTTGGCAGCCACAGAAGCCTCCAGGGAGGCAATAGCAGCCCCAGGGCTCCAGTAAGGGACTAAGCTGAGAGTAGGGCAAATGGGAAGCCAGGGAGGCAGGTGGATGAGGGAGGAAATGGGGGTGTTCAAGTGCCCAGCCTGGACAGAGGGTCCATTGAGCAGTGGCTGTGAGGCTGAGAAGTGCTGATTCCACCTGCTTCGAGGGCTCTGAGCTGGCCTATGTCCCCTAGGGCAGCTGCCCCTGGGAAGTTATGAGTGTCAGTGAGGCCCTATACTGGGCTCCTGGTGGCTGCCTTGACACTCCACTGCCTGGGGATGGGAGCATATTGCTGGCCCTCGACAGCGCCACTTAGTGGGCTCTGCAGGCATTGAGGGGAGAAGAGACCTAAGTTTGTGGGGTTTGGGAACAGCCCTTTTGCACCCTGTGGCTTGACATTCCAAATGTGGTGCGAGGACCAGCATCACCAGCATCACCAGCATCACCAGCATCTCTAGGATCTTGTAGGAATTGCCACGTCCTGGACCCCACCCTAGAACCTGTGCTTTAGTGCTGTCCCTGTGTGCACACTGCCATAGGACAGGGGTTTCCAAATGTCAATCTGTGAGGGCCACCTCAGTCTCCCCTGGGAAGTTTGTTAAAATGAAGATTCCTAACCCTTTCTAGATCAGAATCGCCAGTGTAAGGTCTGGGAATCTACAAGCCCTCTGTGTATTTTTTTTAATTGAAATATACTTCATATACCGTAAAATTTACCATTTTAAAGAGCACAATTCAGTGGTTTTTAGTATATCCATAAGGTTATATAGGCATCACCATCTACTTCCAGAATGTTTCCATCACTCAAAAGAAACTCTGTACCCATCAGCAGTCAGTGTGCATTTCTATTGAACTGTCAGATTCCATGTTTTGAATTCTGAGCTTTTGTTCTGCCAAAAATTTTATATCCATTCAAACATCTGCTAAATCCTACATGTACAGAGTGCTGTACGAGTCTCTTTGGGAAGAAGAAATAAGGCAAAGACAAACTTAAAAAGGGCCAGGAGGCCAGCAACACTGAAGGCTGAGGGAAGAGGATCACTTCAGACCGGAAAATCAAGTAACATAGTGAGACTCCATCTCTAAAATGTTTCTTTTTTAAATCGACATGGTGGTACATGCCTATAGTCCCAGTTACTCAAGGATCTCTTGAGCCCTGGAGTTTGAGGCTGCTGTGAGCTATGATTGTGACATTGCACTCTACCAAGGGTGACAGAGCAAGACCCTGTCTCTAACAATCCAAAAGCTCACAGTCTATGGTGAGAGCACATGGTATTTCAGTTTGGTCCTACTGTTTGCTCCATGCTTGCAGTGCAGCCCTGGGAAGTTGCTGAAAAAGTAAATATGGGCATGTAGAATGATTTTTGTCCTATGTATTTTTGTCATAATACTGCAGAATATGTTCCTGCAGGGATTAAATAAAAGAAACCAACTGAACTCTAAATTCCACCACAGTTACTTTCAGAGAGGCCTCACATTCACACTGAGATGCATTTGCTTTCCTGGGTGCACAGGATCTGTTCACAAAATCCTCCCACGTTTCTCTACCAGATTCAAATGGGCAATCAGACCACGTGTGTGTGTGTGTGTGTGTGTGTGTGTGTGTGTGTGTTCATTTAATAGCATAAATCCATGAAGACACCCCCACACACACTAATTCTCTTCTCTTTGGGAGTTTTTTGACCTCCTGGGTTCTGAAGACTTAGGAAGCTCAAGGCGTCAGGCATTTCTCATAACCCATGCAAGCAGTCCTTACTGGCATTTTAATCATGAGGTTGGAAGTGGATGTTTGGGGACAATGACATGACAAGATTGAAAATGTTCAGCTAAGCTCAGTCCTGGAGAGCTGGCCTTTGCCTCTGCCCACACAAGGGACCAGTTTGATCATCAGCCTGAAATTATACGGCATTTCAAACAGGTGTTCCCTGGCCAGCGTTCAATTGACTCATCTCTCCAGTGTTAGCTGCATACTGTGCTCCATGAAGGAGCAGCAACACATGAACCAGGGGCTCAGTCTAGATAGGAAGAGATCTCATACACATGCATGCATGCAAACACACAGAGGAATGATGAGGAACTGTGTAAGTGCCATCTTTAACGCTAAGGGAGCCAACAAGGATTGTAAGCAGTCAAGTGGCAGAGAGACAAGAAGCTACTGCACCTCACCCTCAGCCACTGCTGTGTCTGGAAAAGACAAAACCCCTACAGACAGCTCCCATCACTGCCCACTGTGGGACTCAGGCCCTGGCTAGCAGGGTTCAGAAGGCTTTGTGCCCTGGCTCTTCTCTTGAGTCTGGGGGTCCTCGTTCTCCCTGGCCTCTGTCTGGTCAGCCTGTCCACACTGCTGCTCCCAGCGGAGGAGACTGCTCTCTACTCTAAGGAGGGCTGTGAGTGGTCCCATAGACCTGGGAAGAGCTTGGCTCTTCAGAGCGTTGTCACTCTGTCCTCAGTCCACCCTGCCTCACCATGCCCAGCTGGGCTGACTGATTACCGGAGGACCTGGCCAGCCTTTGGTGCTTGTCTAAACACATCCTCCAGGAAGCTTCCTGCCCAGCCCAGCCAGAGGTGTGTCTGGTTTCTCGTAATATCCCATGGCAGAACATTTTGGGGATATGACTGTACGAAGGCCAGGTACACATGCCCAGGTAGGGTTTGCTCTTACAAATAACAAATAATTTCACCCTTCCCCCTGTGTGGTAGTCTCCTTAGATTTAATGGAGCCTTTATCTTGTTTGGTTTTCACACGGTGGATGGCAGAGGCCAGGCGTAGAGCAGGCTCCTTCCGTTTGGAGGTAGCAGAATGGTCCTTCGGTGTCATCATGCAGAGATGGTACAGCAGGGGACTTGGAGTAAGGCCCAGATCAGGACAGTGGGGCTCAGGGTTGGCCCTGCCATTGATCAGCCTTGTACCGCTAGTAGTTTCCTGTGGCTGCTATAACACATTATTACACACTTCATCGTTTAAAACAAGGCAAATGTGTCATCTTACAGTTTTGTAGTTCAGATGTCCAAAATGCTTCTTTTCCCCTAAGCTAAAATCAAGGTATCAGCAAGGCTGTGTTCTGTTTTGGAGGCCTGAGGGGAGAGTCTGTTTAATAGGCTTTTCCAGTTTCTTGAGGCTGCCTGTGTTCCTTGGCTCATGGCCCTCTCTTATCTTCAAGCCTGCACTGGCTGATTGAGTCTTTCTAACATCACTGTGCTCTGGTCCAGACCCACCTGCCTCCCTCCTTCACCTATGAGGACCTATGTGATTATACTGGATCAATTGGGATAATCCAGAATAATCTACCCTCCTCAGAATCCTTAATTTAATTACATTTGCAAAGTCTCTTTCATCAAATAAATTGTATTCATAGTTTCAGGATTCTGATCTTTGGGATTTATTCTGCCTCCCACAGTAACCTTCAACTTAACCTCTTGGTGCCTCAATCTTATCATCTCCTAAGATGGAGACAGTCCCCACTTCATAGAATTATTGGGAGAATCAAATTAGTTAATGGACACAGCAGAGCCTGGCACCTAGGACAGGCTCAAGAAATATTCACTCTTAGCATCATTATTTGTGTATTTCAGGAATCATCTGGGATTCTTAGTAGACAGTTTATCAGGGGATCCACAGGGATGAATAACGATTGGCCGAGGGGCTTATTAATGTCTGCTCAGTGAGGAAAGTTTTGGCAGGTAGCCCAGGTGTGAGCCGTGTGCGTGTATACAAGGGTCAGGGAGAGAGGGACTGAGATGAGCATCTGATCCTGCCTTGGAAGCTGGAGTGAGATGTAAGCCTGGTCTTGGAGACCCTCATACAGGCAGAGAGCTGGGCAGATACCAAGCTGAGAGAGGGACCCTGGGGCCTGGAGTAATGCCCTTGGCCAGGAAGAAATCAAGGTTTCTTGGGGCCTTAGCATCGGAGCTGAGCAGTCCTGTTGGCCCAGCCCTCATTTCACTAAGGAGGGATTCCCAAAGCCTTGTTCCCTCTCATCTCAGAAGGGAAATTGGAGAATTAATTATAAGCTGGAGGCCAGGTTTGGGATGCTGATTTCCTGATTGCCTGGATTCCCTAGAAGGAGGTCAAGAGGCATAGAGGGCATCTACCTGGTTAGGTTCCTTGAGAGGCTTCCCCCGTCACACACATACACACACCCTGTCCCCAGCTCTGCCTGGTCTGTGGTCTGACTCCATTGGTCTCCCCAGCAGGTCAGATGGAGCTGTGCTGAGGAGGAAAGAGGCAGCCCCTGGAGCTCAATTACTGTGGCTCCTAGGTGACCTGTGGGAATCGCAGGCTTGGCAGCTGTGTGTGTGGAACTGAGGCTGGGGCAGTGTTGTACACCTGGGGGCAGCCACAGGGAGTGGGATGCCCAGCCTGTCTTTGGAGATAGGGAGGCACTCGTGAGGGCAGCACACTGTCCCTACTCTGGGCCAGGCCCCCAGGGTTGCCTCAGCCCATAAAACCCCCAGCATCTGCCCTTCGCCCCTCTGCAGGTCTTGCAGAAGTGAGGCAGGAGTGAGGAGGTCCTTCTATATGGAGCCAGGGTGACACAGAGCCTGGGGTAGTTCAGCTCAATGCCATGGGCCTGCAAGGGTGGCCACGGCACAGTTCCAGCATTCAGAGAGCTCCCCTTTTGCCGGGAGACAGATAGGCATTGCCATTCAGTGAGCATCCACAACTAAAATGGGTGTGATGCCCTGGGGGTTACAGAGGGCCGGGGTAGGAGTGCATCCTACTAAGGGGCTTGTGAAGGTGAGCAAGAGTTCACTAGATAGAGCAATGGGCAAGAGTGAAGGGTAACAGCCAGAGAAGCAGTCCTCTGTCTTCTCAGGACCCATAGTCCTGACCAGGTCTATAGCAATTTGTAGCAATTTGCTGGCAGAGGAGTTCTGCAGAAAAGTCCTAAGGCGTAATCTTATCCGGAGATACTCCCCTAGAAGCGGAAGAGGGAGCTTGGATCCCTGCCATCCTGGCCTTCCCCTCCCTGAGAAACAGTTTATAAATGCCCATCTCCCTCTGATGTAACTGAGGACAGGGCCCTCCCTGACTGTAGGTAAACACCTGGGAGGCCTGGATGTCCACTTTCCCTCCCTTCCCTCCCTCCCCTCCACTCAACACCCTATAGGGCACCCTGACAAAGGGAAGGTTTCAGGTGTCTGGTGCCTCTTAGGGGCTATAGAGCAGGGCAGACTCCAACTGCAAGTGTCGAGGAGGGAACAGAAACCAGCCTGCGTGGAGAGGGGTTGGCATGGACTGGTCACAGCCCTGCTGTCTCCTCAGAGCCTCTCTCTTATAGACCTAGCAGCACAGGCCTGGCAGTGACAAGCCTAGGGGCAGGATGCCCTGGTGACAGTGGCAGGCCACCCCCGGTGCTTGGCTTTCCTTGACCCCTGTGCACACTCTTCAGCATGCTCATCATGTGCACCATCCTGACCAACTGCGTGTTCATGGCCCAGCATGACCCTCCACCCTGGACCAAGTATGTCGAGTGAGTATCTTCAGAGTCTTTCTGCTCAACCTGGCCTTCTCCCTTCCTTTTCCATTCCGTGCCATTGCCTCTGAAGTCACCCCAGAAGAGGGCTGTGTCCAGGTCCAGAAACTCACCCCCCTAGGGTGTGGGTCCTTGTTCAGCGTCTACCCGCTTTTGCCTCTTCTAGTCCGGCAAGTGCTGGCTTTAAGTTGTGTCCTCAGGGGAGGAAGCTCTTCAGGTTGGCATAGTAGAAGGTTTCTCCCTATTCCTCCTAAGAGGACTGATGACAGTAGAGAAGGCTCTGAAACCATAATAGTTATTTACTGAGTGCTCAGTACATGCCAGGTACTATCACAGAACAGTGAGCTTCATCTCCTTTACCCTCAAGGCACCCCAATAGGGTGGGTTTTGCCACTGTCCCCATTAGACAGATGAAGAGACTTAGACCTAGAGAACTAACTGACCTGATACCGTGCAGCTTCCGGGGGGTGGCCACCAGGAAAAGACCGGGGACTATTCCCCCTTCAGTAATACACTGGGCCAGCTTTTGTTCCAAGTCTTGCCTCCCATAACCATGGGCACAGTTTTAGAAAACTGCTTCTGGTCTTTTCTTCCCAAACAAAAGTCCCTTACTTATAAGTTGTAAGCACACTTGGTAGGCCTTTACTGCATTTGACTTCTGTTTCTATAAGACCAACATGATGTCTGGGAAGACTTTCTTACAAAAGCCGCTTGGCTTGTCACCGTGCATGCTCACACAGGACCAGCTTCTCAGACCTGGGTGGTGCCCTCCCCATTCCAATCCTGTGGGTCACAGTCCCGGCATCCAGGCATTTTGTATTCCCAGGCTGCCTCTGGCAGAGAGATCAGCCCCTTTCCATCCCCATGCATTAGAACATCAACACCCCTTCAAGCCCAGGTAGATAGCTGGACCTACCTATCCTGTAAGCAGTGAGGATGGACCATGCTCCCCTTACAAGCCACCAAGGATCCACAAACATGGGTAAGGGGCAATGACTCCACCCATCCATACTGTCCTATAGGGCAGACCCATTGGCCACTATATGCCTGTTGCACACATGGACCCCAGCACTAGGGCAAAGAAATAGATTGGGGGGGGTGTCTTTTTGTACCAAGACAACCAAGAGAAGAAATATAGAGAGTTAAGATGGACACATGGCAGTCACTTTGTAACATAGAATAAACACATGGGAAGATGGATTATTTAGCCAGATGTTTAGAGCAAGCCGCATCCCCAGCTTTGACAGAGGAGTACTGCACAGAGCCTGACCTGACCACCTGTGGTGAAAAGAACTAACTGCACAGGGCTCCTACCATGCAGAGAACCTGAAGAACTAGGCCTGTGGATATCGGTGCCCCTGAGAAACCCTCTGGCCTGTTTTCCCCAGGTACACGTTCACCGCCATTTATACCTTTGAGTCTCTGGTCAAGATTCTGGCTCGAGGCTTCTGCCTGCATGCATTCACCTTCCTTCGGGACCCATGGAACTGGCTGGATTTCAGTGTGATTGTCATGGCGTAAGTATCTATCTCCCTTGCTGTGTTGTGCTGTACCATGTCAGGCCACGCTGGGCTGGGGGTGTGCACCCACTCCCCAACCCCTGAACCACCCTGGTCTTCTTGGCTTCCTCACTGCTATTCAAGTGCAACTTGAACCCGGGCTGTAAAAAGGCAAAATGGAAGCCCTCAGTTCATTCTGTGGCGAGAGATGGGTCCACAGTAGTTCAGGCAGGCCTTGGGGTCAGGCCCACTGGCTCATCTGTGCCTCCACAGTAGCCCTGGGCTCAAGGGACATCATTAAGATTCTGGATGAATATTCTCTGCCCTTTCCACCAAGAGAAACAAATATTCCAGCAGTGACCTGGATTCCAAAGTGATTCAGAATAAAATCACAGTAAAGCAGAGGAGCCTGGAGAAGTGACCAGGCATCCCCAGGAACTCACATCAGGTGCACCAAAATGTCTCCTCTCTCCATTCAGAACCTCTGCATTTGGCACATATTAAAGTGCCTGGTCATTGACACACCAACCAGAGATGTAGGCTGGATGAGGGTGCTTAGCCCATTTTACAGAAGAGAAGACCGATGCAACCAATACACAGGAAGCCTGCCTGAAAGTAAACATGACCCCAGGCCTGCTGCAATCCAGGCTGAGGGCCAGCCTCCTTGCCTAGGAGGAGACCCTTGCTGAGGGCTGAGTGTAGAGGTAATGCTCCTCCCTGGAAGGATCAGGCAACAGATACCAGGTTCTGATAAGATGATTGAGCAGGGCGGGCCAGGTAGAAGTTGAGATCAAGGGGTCAGGCATCAAACCCTTTCTGAAGCCTGAGGACACAGTGTTTGCAGGGCTGCGTACCATATCTTTGCAAGGGACAGAGCTGGTGAGAGTTATATTCTCTGCCCTTGTAGATCTGCAGTTTCCCCACGTGTGAAAGGACAGTGTTGAGTGTGGTGATAACGGAAGCTCACAGTTCAGTTCAGCTTCCACTTTTTAGTATTCTTGGATTTACTGAATCTATGTATTCATGACAGAGTCTTTATTTAACCCAGACATGAGCATCCCTGAGCTCAGCCATGCTGTGGGAGAGAAAGACAAAGAGGGAAGCTGGACCTTGCTGATGGGGCATTTTCAAGGTAGATGGAGAACCTGGTAATTAGAAGGTGCACCAGCACCTCTGTTTCTAGGTGCACTGTTTGTGAGCTGACTCCAGCCCTTCATCTTATAGGAGTAAGACTGCAGCTCTGAGAGACAACACCCCTTGCCCCAAGTCCAGTGTAGATGTAGGCCTGGGTGGAGCTGTATGAGAAGCAAGAGTGGCGGGAGGTGAAGTTGCAGACTGGTGGGATGGGGACAGATTGCACTGTCCTTCTAGGTCATGGTCAGAGCCAGCCACTGGAATCCAGGGGAGAGAATAGTGGCCAGAACCAGGATCCAAGTGGAGAAGGTGAGAGCTGCTCAGATTCCAGATCTGTTTTTCAGGGAGGACCAACAGGAGACCCCATGGTGGGTTCTGGTTTGAGCAGCTGCTGGGTGGATGGCATTACCATTTGTAGAAAAGGAGAATTGGTGGGAGAGAGAACCTACCACTTGCCCAAAAATCTAGCCAGCTTTCAAGGCTGAGGAATCAGAAGTCTGGTTTGCAACGTATGACACTTGAAAGCATCCAGGGTGAGAGATTGAGTAGGCCACTGAATATACCAGTCTGGAGTTCAAGAAGAGGTCCAGGGTAGAGATATAAATTTAGAAGTCCTCAGGATACAGATGTCATTTAAAGCTAGGAGTCTGGATGTGATCACGAGAGTGTAGCCTGTGGCCTGAGTATACTATGGGGCATTCCAGCATTTCCAGGTCAGGAGAGAAGACTGGACTGAGGGAACTGGTCAGTTAAGGGTGGAGGAAAACCAGGAGAGAGTAGTGTCCAGTACCCCCCTTCCCTGAGGAATGTGATTCCACTGGAAACACAGCATGAGGGGTTTGAGGAAGGTGATAATTAAGAGTGGACTATTGAAGTTGACAGGAGAAGGTCACTGAGCCCTTGACAAGAGGTATTCCAGTGGAAGGGAGAACACGCACATTGTTAAAGAGAGTTTAGGAGAGAAGGAGAGGAGCAGTGGAGGGGAAAAACATCTGTTTGGTGAGGTTTGCTATAAATTAGGACAGAAAATGGCATAGTGGTCAGAAGGCATTATGGGTCCAGGGAGGACTTTTCAAGAACAGCAGTATCTTTGTCAGCTGGTGGAAATGATCCAGTAGAGAGGGGACGCTTGATGGTGTAGGTGAGGGGGGATTGAAGAAGCAAAGCCCTTGAGCCATCCCAAGAGGGTGGGGATCCGTGCCAAGGCCGAGCATTCACCTGAAGAGCAGGGAAGGCAGAATTTGGGGTAGAGATGAAGGTAGATTGATAGAGTTGGCGATGAGAGAAGAAGGACTTTCTGTTCTGATTGCTCCTATTTTCTCAGTGAAATAAGAAGCATGATCATCATCTGAGAACTGAGTAGAGAGGCACATCTGAGGTTAGGGAAGGAGGGAGAACTCTTCCTGTTAGAGCTGGGGAGATTGTACAGACGGGGACAGTGGGATTGCCAGGCCAGGCGTAGGCTGTATAAAGGGTTCCCCTGTGGGATGGAGGACAGTAATCCATAGGACCTTCAGGGCTGAGTATCCCAGAAAGGAAGGGGACTTCAGGCAGTGGAGGACACAGCATCTGCCTCCCCATCTTGGAGCTGGAGCAAGACAGTGGCACCACAGAGAGAATCTCAGACCCCAGGGAAAGTGATCACCCTGGGCCTGGCTTTGGCCTATGCTAAGCCCATGTCTCTGGGAGATGTTGTGTGTGACCTTAGGCCCTTTGCAAGTCCTCCTGTCCCATCTCATGAGAGAATCCCAGTCTCATTCTCCAAGGGATTCCATGGGGAAACCACTCCTGCTCAGAATCCCAAGTAGGTGTCCTTCCTCACCAAGGCCTGCTTGCCTTCCTGCTGTGCCAGAACCAGGGTGACAAAGCAGAACAGGGCCTCAGAAGCTCAGACAGCCTCCAGTTTCCAGAAATGGCATGTTCATTCCTATAGAGCTACATGGACCCATTAGAACATCATCAGCTTTGGGGTCTTGGCTGGACTGACCCAGCATCTTTGATTGACCCTACCATATGAAATGATGGCCTCTGAAGTGAATGTCAGTGAAGTGGTCTAAAAACACAAGGCTCCTATCCTAGGATTAGCAAAGAGTCTTAGAAGTAGTAGAAAAGTTCAATTAAACAAAACTCTTTATCCATCTTCCATTACCCAGATGGGGAAACTGAGAGAGAGAACCTACCACTTGCCCAAAAATCTAGCCAGCTTTCAACCTACTCCTTTACCCCACCTGCTTTAGAGGTTGTGAGAGGGTCCAGGGTAGGTGTGCTGGAAAGCCTGCTGGGCTCATCTTGTAGCCCTCAGCCAGAGCTCTTCCTGTGCCCCCCCTCACAGCTGGGCAGTACCTGCTAGTTAGCACACCCTCCCACCTTCTAGGGTTGTTATGGAAACCAAACCAGAAGGCAGGGAGGGCAGAGAGGAGGGGTGCCAATCCCCACAGGAAGCTAGCAGTGTGGGTTTCACCATCTCAAGATAAGGGTGGGGCAGAAAGGAGATGAGGATCAGCCTCCCTCATGGTTCTCAGCCTCCAAAAACTCTCCCTCTGTGCTGGGGCTGGTGATAGGGTAGCATTCTTACCCACTCCCCACTGCTCTTCTACAACAGGGCTAAAAGTCCCACCACAATTGTCTGTCCCTGCCCAACAGCTTGGTTATAGCAGGAGTAGCCGGACTTGGAAGAGGGGTTTTGCTCACCAAGAGGGGCATAGCTCTGTCCTCCCCCACCACCATGCATCATCCCAGCCTCACCACCTCTGGCATTGGCCCTGTGCCATACAAAATGTTCCTTCTTTTAGTATAGCCCTGCTATACTCAGAAGCCCCTAGAGTGAACTCAGTGAGTGTCTGGGATCCCAATATGGGAAGCAGTTAGACTCCAAGTTCTGGGCAGAGGAATTAAGGCAGCACCACACATGTGGTCCTAAATGCTCCATGCCCTCACACAGCTCTGCTCCTCCTTCAAGACTTCCTAGGATTCACAGTTGCTATTCTGTACAGATACACTGGCCCCACTCCTGTTCCCAGCCACTCACCCATCTTTGCAAAACTGCCAGGAGAGGAGCATAGATACAGTCTTCGGTCACCAGTCCATTCTTGTCACCTTAGGATTCTAGCTTCTCTGTGCTTGGCACGAGCTGCTGGGGAGGCAGATGATGAATGGAGGGCAAGCATTGCCTGTGCTGGGGGCACTGAGTGGGGCAGACTTTATACTGAAACAAGCAGAATCCAATCTAGGACAGACAGGGTCTTCACTGGAGATACCAGGGGACAGAATAGTTCTGTAAGGGACAGAAAAGAAGCAAGGATGGTCGGTTGTCTCTGACCTGCACTGGGTGCCATTCACTCCCTGTGACCGGAAAGACAGCCTTGAAACCAGAGTCTTGAGCAAAGGAAGCTGTCATCCTGGTTATGCTTGGCAGACCAGCAGCAGGAAATGGAACCCTGAGCCTCTAGCAGGCTGGAACCACGGCTTCCATGGGATGGCAATGTTGGCACTATTCCAGACCCATCCTGACAGTTCTGTGGCAGCACCGTGTCTAGATAGAGACTCAGAGAAAAATATCTTAGCCCAAGAGAAGATTGGGACAGAAGCCTGAGGGTCTGAGCCGTCATGGAGAATGTAATAGCTATCAAAAGTTGAGAGGGACCTTAGACCAAATTAACAGGTGTATTTGGGCCAGAAGAAAGGAGGTGACTTCCGCTTTCCAGTGGATGATGGGGCTTCCTCTGACTGCTACACTGGAGAAAGATTTACAAGATGAAGTGCCTGGGAGATGGAGTGGAACCACATCAGAGAAAGGGTCTATTATAGACAGAGAAAGGAAAGCTCTGGTATATATCTGCTGACTTCCCATCTCTGTAGGGAGCAGGCGTGGTCCACAGGATCCCAGGAAAATGGAAGAGCCTGCCACAACAAATAAGACACCAAGGAGACGGTTATGTTAATCAGTTAGATGTAAGCTTTCCACATTGTATATCAAATCAGCACTTTGTACCCCATAAATGCATTAATGCACACAGTTATGATTTAATAAGGAATTTTTTAAAAAAGAAAAGAAAATGGAAAAGCCTTTCAAATGGACATAGGCAAAGCTGATGTCAGTCCCGTGTCAATTAAAGCCAGACCACACTGGTCCTGCTGACTCTAGGACATTTGAGTCCCTGAGCATAGCCTGCTGAGACCTTTCCTATAGCCAGCCATCTGTTGCTTGAAGGGAATGCAAAAGCTCTGAACAGAGTGGAAGAACCTGGAGGTATAGACTGCCCAGCAGAGTGAGTCCAGCTGCACAGTCAGACCACCCTCACACTGACCCTCACACTGCAGTGCCGACATCACTGACGCCTATGCCAGAAATACTTGGTTAAACTTTGGATATCCTGAGTCCAGTGTCATTTGTTAAACATCAGACACCTTCAGTTAAATGTCAGATGCCTTGGCTGGGAAACCTTTGGTTAAATATCACAAGTCACTTGCCACTGTCCCAGTGGCCTTGGTCACATACTATCCATCCACCTCTTGGTCCTGCAGCCCATCCACAGCATGTCCTCATGCTCTGCTTGGGCAGGTCCCTGCCCCCCAGAGACCAGATCCTTCCTCCTATGCCTCTGGGGGCCAGAGATGGACAGCTGTCTAAATTCTAGCTGGGAACCCCACAGCCACTCAGCCCTGCTGAACATCTCTCAGACCTGAGCAGAGCAGAGCCCAAGAGAGCTGCTCATCTCCGAAGGCCATGCCTGGAGGGCACCAAGGGTCGGGGGTGAGACTGGAGGTGGGCTTATTGGAAGGGGCCAGCACTACCCTGAGGCCTTTCATCCTACTCTCTTCTCTTCTTGGGTTACCTCTGGCCTGCGTGTAGCTGAAGAACAGATATTCGGAAACCTCTTTTCCCATCTTCCAGAGCCTCTGTCTTGGGAACTGTTTCTTCCAATGAGTACTCAGACCTCTTCCACTTCATGACTGCAGGGACTCCTCAGCCACTCCTTATATAGAGAGATTCATGGTTGGAAGGGAGCAGCCCTCAGAGGCCAGCCACCCTTCTATGGTGGTCTCAGCCAGAGTTTCGGGGTCCCAAGGATCAGAGCCCCTAGGCATGAGCTGATCATAGACCACAGAAAATGCAAATCAAAACTAGGACAGGAAACCCACTTGTTTTCTAGATTGCCTGACCTGAGCCTCCTGGAAACAGGGCTTCCCTCTTCCCTCTGATGTGACCCCAGCCTCAGACCCCACATATGGTTTTGTGCCATGATCCCCCGTAGGATGGAGAATGTGGCAGAGTGGCTGCCTTCTAGTGCCAGTTATTCATGGCACCATCCCTCAGAGAGCCTCCTGGGAGCTTGCTATGTGGATATCCCCAAGGCATCCTGCTGGAGTTGCATGTCAATGGGTTGAAATCAGGAAGAAAGACTGAGGGAGGCCCACGGGACAGGAAGAGGGAGAGGGCTGGTTGGGGAGGACAGGCTGAGGTTCTGCTTTGTAATTCCCAATAACTGTGGTTTGATTCTGCAGGTATGTATCAGAAAATATAAAAGTAGGCAATTTGTCGGCTCTTCGAACTTTCAGAGTCCTGAGAGCTCTAAAAACTATTTCAGTTATCCCAGGTAAGATGCCCAGGTTTGCCTCTCAGATCTCATCTACAAGTGACTCTCTCTCTCTGTATCCCCATCCCTGTCCTCCTCTGACCGTGTGTCTTCTATTGGCGTGTTGTCATTGTCTCGTGTGTGAATTTCCCTTGTTACAGATACACAACTGAATTTGTGGACCTGGGCAATGTCTCAGCCTTACGCACCTTCCGAGTCCTCCGGGCCCTGAAAACTATATCAGTCATTTCAGGTGAAAATCAGGTTAAACGCCAAGACTGGAGGGATGTGCCTGGGCCTTTCTAGCCACCTGGGAGTCAAGGCGACCCTCAAGGAGGCTCCTTCAAATGTGCCTGTCACCAGAATACCTCTCCCAGAGCTCAGGTGTGGGGGCTGTTATCTCCCCAGAGGTGTCCCCCTCAGGCACCTGTCCCCCCAGAACCTCAGAATAGGCTTCAGCTACCCACCCTGGCAAAGCCCACTGTCATAGACACCAATGGGCATGCACAGAGCACCCCACTTGCTGTGTGGGCATCCTTACACTAAACCCACATTCTTCCCAAGATAGTGGATTTCTTTTCCAAACTGAACTCAGCTATTTGAATACCTAAAATCTTATACATGAACAGCCTCGGCCTGAGGTGTCATCCTCTGATCAGAAAATAAAAAGAACTGTTTGAGGGAACTATATACACCCCCAGAACACAAAAGGAAAGCTCAGCGTGGTTTTTCATGACTGAGTGCCCAGTCTCTGCCCTATGCTCCCTCTGGCGATATATGCACAGCTGGAGTCACAGCCTCAGTTTGTAAAACAGTAATCTGTGGACAGGCATCATTGGGCCTTGGCGTCTAACAGCCCTCGCTGCATGGTGCGGTAGAGGTTTAGCAAACCGTGCATGGTAGCCTCAGGAAGAAATTCTCCTTGACAGATGTTGGCAATTGCACCCAGGAAATCTTCTAAGCCCATATGGCCTCTCTAGAAATCATTCTACCCATCCATCCAGGAAAACTCTCAAAAGACTTGTAATTTCTGAGCCTGGTTATGTGATACGCTGGTGCTGATGTTGAATTTTACCCAGGAGACTGTCCTGTCCTAAGTCTTTATTCCCTCTCCCCAGATTCCAATGAATCTAAACTCTAATGTCCTCCTGTTTGAAAGAACTCACCCTGGAAGGGCAATGCCCCGAGGCTTATTCCAGAAGCCTTTTCTGAGTATAGCCACATTCAGAACTGAAAAAGGCTCTTCTTTTATGAAGGTGGCTGGAGACAGGTTGCATGCCACCATTGTGGGGAGGTGTCAGAGCTGAAGGAAGCATTAGTTGCTCTGGATAGTTGGTTGCATCCACTCCTGATTTGGAATGCTCATGGTTCCCAGCCCTGTGGCCTACATGTGGCTTTTGTTGCCCCCAGGGAGTTGGATCTCTGCCCTGAGCATCCTCCATAAGGAATTCAGATTCTTCCTGTAGGGCTAATTATCTTGTAAGAGAAGCCCCCAGTTATGCTGTGTTCAATCTGAAATTTCAGGCCTACAAACCCAGCATGGTATGTGTATAGGGGCCATTTCTCCCCCAGGTCCTCCACAAGTAGCCCAGACCCCTGCTAAGGACTGTTAGCAAGGGGGCTAGTGTGCCTCCAGCCACATCACGGACTTTGACACACATACACATATGCTCAGAAGCTTCACAGTCTGTCCTTGAGGGCCCAGGGACAGCCTCATAGGCATACACTCCTCTAGAGTAGATAAACACATTGACCACAGGAGTTAAGAAAAGGCATAGTCCAGCCTATTTTTTAAGAAGAATTTACAAAGGGAAATATTTGTTAGTCCTAAGGAAAAGGAATAAGCCCACCAACCTCAGGGCAACCCAATGAGGTCTCTTCAGAGCTGCCAGGAACCCAGTGAGGATAGCAGACCCCAAAGGTGGTCATAGAAAAATGCCACAGTCAGCATTATGGAAGCTCTGGGGAGGCAGCATCTTTTGAGCTGAGTCTAAATGGTCTTTGTCTTCTCTGGACCTTAGCCTGCTTTTCCAAAAACAGGAGTGAAATCAAAATGGTTAGTTTCCAAGGGCTCTTCTGCTCAGCCTCTTAGAACTTCAGTGGCAGGAGGATTTCCCTGCTGGTCCCCCAAGAACCATTGCTTCCTGGGTCTTTTTAGAATCCTGCAACTTCATTGGGACCATTCTTACCAGGAGCAAACTCTCACACTGTGAGAAATGTTCCAAGGGGCAGGTTGCCCTTGCACAGTCTACAGACCAGGTCAGGGATGCCTTGCTGGCCATGAATGGGATACATTAGGCTAAAGAGACTTTAGCCTGTCAGCAGAGGCAGAACCCAGTCTAGGTAGTGAGCTGCTACCCACCACCTAAGCTCAGTTCCCATAGAGATATGGGCAGATCTCTAGATCCAATGGGCAGAGCCAGACACCGTCTACCAAAGGGGACTAGAGGTAAGAAATTGTGGACGGTGAAAGAGTTATGCATCCCACCCCACTAGCAGCAGCACCACTCTGTGCCCAGATCCCTATGAGGTCTGCCCACTGCCCAGGCAGTTGCCAACATCTGCCAGGATGATTTCCATAGAGAGTGCTGACTGCCTCAGAGCCCCTGGCGGGCGATGGCGTTGGCAGCACCGTGGGGAAGCCTCCCTCTTCCTCTGCTGTGTTTGCTTCCCACTGCCTCCCTGCCTCTGGAGGCTCGGCAGCAACAGGCACAGCCACGGGTGCTCCTAACACATTAACCAGCTGGACAATGGATGGATGAGTTTAATCTGAGATCTGGCCGCTTGGGGGTAAGGGGGCAGGAGGGGCAGGCCCTGAACTGGCAGAGGTGCCCCCTTGTTCCCCATGCTCTGCTCATACTTGTCCTAGGACAGTTGCTAAGGATCAGATTAGATGCGTCTACTTGTGCTTTTCTGTTTTTCTGCTGTGTGATGCTGGCTTCTGCTGGGAGCTGGGCTGTGCAACTAACAGGTCACAGCCTCTCAGCTGTGGGGAACGGGGTGGATGGGGAGGATTCCAAAGGGACAGAGCAGCAGGAAGATGCAAAGTAGGTCAACCCCTGACCTGCCCTGAACCTTCTCCAAAGGGGGCCCAAACCAGAGTAGGACCCCTAGGACATTACCTACCATGGCTCTGCCAGACCTTCCCTCCACACCCCTGGCATACATACATACAGCTGAACCCCAGACCCCAGGTCTCCTAGTTTCCTTCAAACAATCAAAATCTCATTTCATCACAGAGAACTGGGCCCAGTAGCAGAGCAGGAGGACCCCATACCAAAAATGCTGTGTCTCTCCCCACCTCAGGATCAATATTAAGATCTCTCCCTTACCCTGGAATGGGCTGGGACCTCAGTCTCCTTTGCTGTGGACTACATGAAATGGGTGGGCCTGGCATACCTTGGATAAGTCCCAGGGGGACATGCTCTGAGTGTGTTTCTTCGAGAAAACAACACTTTGTACAAAGAGGACCAGGCCCCCTCTGAAATTGGACTCCTGCCCTGGGAAATCAGGATAGACTATCTGCAGCTAAGAAATGGGAGCTTGGGGCTCAAACATATAAGAGAAGCCTCCCTCTGTCCCCACTTCGAAGTTGTCCACCCTGGCCCCCCTTCAGTTCAACTCAACACCCCAAGGAGACCCAGTTCCCTCCACTCATGCTTGCCCCCCACCAGTGTAGCATAGAGCACAATGCCCAAGGGTGACCCCAAATTTGTTCTCACCTTACCCTGAAGGCCTGAAGACCATCGTGGGTGCCCTGATCCAGTCTGTGAAGAAGCTGGCTGATGTGATGGTCCTCACAGTCTTCTGCCTCAGCGTCTTTGCCCTCATCGGCCTGCAGCTCTTTATGGGCAACCTAAGGCACAAGTGTGTGCGCAACTTCACAGAACTCAACGGCACCAATGGCTCTGTGGAGGCTGATGGCCTGGTCTGGGAGTCGCTGGATGACTACCTCAACAATCCAGGTATGGGCTCACTCTGTGACTAGTGGGGGCTCTGTGAGACCATCAGAGTGGGGCACCTCCCACGCAGGCCTCACCAGAAGGCAGGCCTCCAGGTCTGGGCAAGCCCTACCTAGTCCCTGGAGACAGACCCCAGAGGGTATCAGGCTGCCTCCTGAGTTCCCAGGCTAGACGGGGAAGTGATACCTGAAGAATGGGAAGGATGGAGTTAGATGGAAAAACAGACAGGAGAATAGCACCTGCAGCATTCGGAGGTGAGACTGAACCTAGAGTGGTAGAATGGCGAGGAAGCCGGCCTACCTGCAGAGGAGTGTCAGCTTAGGGAAGGGGTGGACATGGAGTTGGGGTAGTCACTGAGGCTTCACAGTGAACTCACTTGCTTGGCATGGGGGTTTCCCAGTCAATGTCTGTTTCTTTGCCA